ACAGAACCTATTGGGTGGTGAAACAAACAGTGTCTGTGGCAGGCTTCGAAAGCTTTATTATCATAAATCCTATTACTGTAAAGCCATTTAGTCATATTCTAATGGGTGTCGGGTAGCGTTACTTCTTCTTTGTGATTTCACTTGATGTATTCAAGTGCATTTCAGTTGGCAAGATGTGGGTCTGTTGTTGACTACGAGGCCTCAAAATACAAAAGCGATAGTTCCACTGACTTATGTAGTAAATTTGGTCTAGATAGACCGCCATCATGTGAGAGTGGTGAGAACCCATGGTGAATTTGATTTCGTTTGGTTTTGAGGTAATATTTGGTCTCAACGAACGGTCGGTCAATATCAGTTCCAAATGTTGTAGTGGGACACTCACTGGCAGGGAAAAGTGTATCAATCTACGTACGCTCAGGAGCTAGTGCATTTGGGCCTAATTATACCCAAAATGGGAGATGGACAGAGAACGGAAAATCTGATGGACGGCACCTGATAGACAGTATCGATCCAACAGAGTGGATTTGTAACAGTCGGAGCGGTGGCAATGTGAGTGCAAAATCCGGAACTGCGTTGTCGAATTCGATTCGTACGACTTCTGATTCTGCTTTGGTCATGTGACACTAATCGATCTCCCCAGTCGCTCAACGGCCCTCTAGACCACCTTGCAGCATCCAGTTACATGCGAGTTGGGTTGCCCTGACAAACGGCCTTCTGTTTCCGTGTTTCCTAATTTAGTAACCAGTCTTAGATGTTTATTTCGTCATTAAATCCCATTTCAACGATTAGGCTTGATGACGAGATCCCGAGAACATTAAGGTCCGCTGCATTCTACATTGCGGAAGTGCGTTACTATAAGGACATGTTGACGTTTTTCCCTCGCTTAAAAATTCACAAAACACCACGAAAATCAGCCAGTTTTGAATATCTCCCGAGAACTGAGTCTTACATGCCGTTTATTCATGGCATTTCGAAATTTTGCGAAGTCCTAGCACGTATTCTGGTAGACAACCAAGTGACAAACACTTAGAAACCAGTTGGTTCGAATACAAACCTACCTGGACTTGTAGAGGGGTTGTTTTTAGTAACTTATAAATACTGTTGTGTCAAGATGAATAGCCCCAATTAGATTTTGCGGGGAGAATTTAACCAAGACGAAAAATGAGAGTGCTCTGATGGAAATAACCAATTGATATGCAACCTGATTCAAAAGAAGAATATGATGTTGGTCAAAACAGTCAGGGCAGACATGCACAACAATCTGAGAGCTAACTAGAAACGGGACGACCAAGCTTGTACGGAAAATGAAGGGTGAACGTTAGAACAAGCGAGGTGAAGATCACTAATAGTAACAAGGATCGCTGTGCTACAAAGGACTGAAAACATCTCTGAACGAAGAGTCCAATCCCTCAGCTATTTCGAAACAAAGAGTCAGCGAGACGTCTGAAAATGCCGACCAAATTCTGGCTATTCGGTAACATCATTCAACACTGATGGCCAGGTGATACGGATTTTTTTAAATAAATAGCTTACTTGCCTCGATGCACAGCGTTGACACACTTTGCTGATTTCCTTACGGTAGCAGGATTGCAGGCGGTCATTACCCAGCCACAAAATGGGAGAGCAATGGTACCGGACGGCTTACCTACCGAACTGTTCAAGCCGGGAGGGCCGCCACTGAAGAAAGAACTTCTGCTATACTACTTCTACTATATATATTCTGGTCTATGGAAGATATTCCGTAATATTCCAATGATGCAACGGTAATCTGTATGCATGAATGGAACCTAACTAGAAAGAAGACGGACAACTGCGAACTTAGACGTCCGTGCACAGCAAGCAAGAGCCTAGCTCGTATCATTCTCAGTCGGCTAGTCGCTGATCATCGTTACCACCTTCGGATGTGAACCGTGTACATAGTAAACGATGGTCATAGCTGTCACAGTTTCGTTCACCAATGAACTACAAAGATGGATGTGAATAGCTGCGTGTTGGAGGCAGCACCTAATAAAACTAACTGGTGAACTCGGTGGTCTGTGACATTTCCATTTCGGAGGGGATTTATGCGTTGAAAGCAATATCCTGGATACGCTCATGCCAATTTCTCCAAACATGGATGTGTTCAGTCTTGAGGTCCCCATCCAACGAGACAGCAATGACCATCACAGTTGAGTTTGCTGATAACTTCCATACATCGTTGCCAAGATGACCTTCCCCGGGTCTGTTCCAACCTTCGCGTAGTTTTGCGAATGAGCTATCCGAAGAAGTATGTCGACCGCCCTACGGTGCACGTGACCAAGCCGACACAAAATATGGAGTTTTAGCGGGTCATATTTCGTTGGCGAATTATTTCCTCTACAAACCATTCGACGTAGTTCAGAACTAATAATATGATGTCCCTACTGTACTCGGACAACGCTCCGAAAACATCGATGGTCAAAAGTTGAAAGGCTTTTAGCGCACTTAGCGCGCAGCGATTACGTTGCTGACCCGTGTAATAAAATGGAGCGCAATGCGACATTGTCAACTCGACCCGTCACCGATAAGCTAGTGTTACCCTTGCGCCACACATGATGTAGGTTCACAAAAGTTGCTCTGGTCTTCCCAACCGGATGGACATAACGCCTTTGGCTAGACAACCGGAGCTGATATAGCTGCCAAGTAAACGAATACCTAAAATAATTCCTCAAATGGCAGGTCCGCAAGTCTGCCCACTCAGTCTTGCAGCCGCACTCTAAATCTGGCAGGTCATTTAATATTGTCCGCACTACGATAGCATCAGATCCAAGAAGAGTGATATCGTCTGTGTACTCGTTATCTGTGAGCATTTGGGACCATTTCGACCCCACAGACGTTAGAGGATGGGACTGAGTCTTCCATGACCAAATCGAGGAAAGGCGCAGTGTTCCGACACATCTTGATTTATCGAACTCAGATGAGGGCCCACAGCAGACCTTCACGCACCCATTTACGTCATGCGTTCGCGTACTGGGCTTCAAGGAGTGTCAGAAATTTATGGGGTCACCTTTAACCCATAGACATCACCTTAGTGTCTGAAGATCCACAGAGTCAGTGGCAACTTTCAAGTCAAGAGAGTGTCATTGTTGTTTTCTGGAAGTACTATCGCTGTTCCAGACTATGTAGGAGGATGAATGTGATTGATGCATCCTACTGCGGGACCGAAACCAGCTTGATTTTCACAGATCTGCCTTCCTCTGTGTTTAGTCAAGTTTCGGGGGAAGAGACCAGAGAGCACCTTTGATACCAAGGCTATCAGGATAATGCTTTTCACAGCGCTGGCGTATCCTTTTTGAGGATAGAGACAACTGTTGGTCTGTTCCATTCTGCGGGCAATTTCTCTTTACTCTAATTTACGTCGCCTTATTTGAGAATTGGATACAAAAGGTCCGGTCCTGATTCATCCTCTCGCTTCAGGAGGGATATTTCGTGCTTTCTTTTTCTTATGATGGATAATCAGTGATAAATTTCATTCGACCGCACGCACTGTCTCCAGGAGCATCGTTTCAGGAGGCCAGTTGCACTGTTCTCCGAAGTGCTCGGTTCACCTTGACAGTCGGCGGTTTCGAGAACGAATAACGGGACCGTCTTGTTCACAACCGTGAGTACTAGTGGAGTCTCTAAATACCGGTAAATCGGAGGCGTTAATCGGCTGTTGATCGCATACCAATTTGCTTGTTCACAGAGCCTGACAAATTAGCTTGTAAACGTTTTGTCATCAGTCAGGTTGGTCTCACCCATTCAGCTCGTATCGTGCAGCCGGGACTAAGCGAGATCTGGTTCGAAGATGCATCGTATAACTGTGAAGTTTATGAAGTCACAGCATTCTTAAAATGAGCATAAAAATAAGTAACTTGAGGGGAAGTTAAATTATCCTAAGTGGATCGTAAGCTGGTAGCTTTTGAGGGGCGAGAAAAGTCATCTGCATGTACGCTACTAGTGGATCTCAAACTTAGTGAGATCTAGACTTGAAATCCACACTCGGCTCTTGCTTCCGAGCAGCAAATAAATATAAGCATTAAACTTGTCCGATGTGAGATCGATTATCTGCCAGAATTTCGGGTTCCATCCCACAAGTTAAATTAAATTTGATTCCCGATAGTGCGCACCTGAAACGGATTCGAACTTGTGACCACTTGCGTAGGCGTTGAGCGCGGTAAACTCCGGGCTTCGAGTGGCTGTTCAACAATTTGGGTAACATGCGCTCGGGCAGTACATAAGGTCGGCTTAGCATTCACTGAGATCACCTTCACCATGAAATCTGGGAATTCATCTTTAAAATATCCTCAGCACTTAGTGAAACTCATCGACTAAGCTTGTACGGTACTTTCAGAAAGGCCAACTCGGCTTTAAAAATCAGTCAAGCAAATTTAGATCCAAACGAACTACACAACAAAAAGATTAACTAGCAGCGACCTATGCAAATTTAAAGACTTTGCAGAGAGAGAGAGAGAGAGAGACGAAGAGAGAGCGAGCGAGAGAGAGAAACGCAGAAATCTGATGTGCTAATTGTGATGCTTCGAATCCTAGTTGAGAGATGGCGCCATGGAGTGTCACCTGCAAATCACGCTATGTAAATATAAAAGAATGAAACAAGCAATATTACATTCACAATATTAGGCATATGCTCATAATATCACGAACGCTTGCATACAAACTGATTTGTCCTTCATACCTCCGCACTCTGTCACGAGGGACTGCAAAAGAATACAGTGGCACCAGAGTATACCCATGTCTGCAATACTGAGGACATGTTGACTGTAGACCAGTAGCCCAAGTAAGTTGTTATTTGTCAAGGGATTATTATAGTTATTTGATAAAGTGAAACGAGCTTCTGCTACCACAGAGGACAATCTAATCAGCAACGTGAAGGATTCTATCATGAGACTAATGACACTGCATCAAAGGGAAAATAAGAAGGGTTTGCTGGTCTGATCAGGGGTTTTTCTACAGCAACTTTTGAAGGATTGTAGTTCACAACAATCAATGATATCCACAAATAAGGAGAAAAGTAACGACGGAAATGTTTTTGTTTCGCGAATTGTGCATGGGATAATCAGACTCCAACAATACACTGGGAGACATTCCCCATCGCTACAACAACCTACAGACGATGAGCGTCATCCTGTCGATCCCTGAACACAAACAAGAATCTTACAATACAGATGTATTTTCATCCGATAGGCACGTATTCTAGGCAGTATTCACGTGTGCATGTGAACAAGGATAAATGATAATCAGGTGGGCAAGTATATCACAGTGAGATGAAAGATGTGTAAACTGTTGGTGCATATGGTCGATGCATGGTTGTGAAGTACAATTCAGGGAAGGCTATGGGGAGTTTGATAGAGACGGGCTAGCGGTGGGCTGCGTGGAACGAAATGGGTCGATCGTTAAGCATAAATAAATGCAAAGAGAGAAGACGCATCCGGACAAGTTGCGTTTCAGGTACCTGAGAAAAATAGCATATTTACCGGTTTAGGTTGTCGACTGGATGCCAGAGAAGCCAAAAAACAATTGGCGATTATTGACGGAGGCTAGGGGAAGTGGATAAAAAAGCAAGTGGATAGGGGCAAGTATTTCATATTACGCCGAAGTAATAGTGGTACCCAGCCAGTGCGAAACCCACAGCCAGTAATAAAACAGCAGCAGAGCTGAGAGCAGCACCTTGGGTACTCTGTACAATACCACTTTCCGCAAAGAAACGGCGAAGATGGCGTGAAATATTTACGGGGATCCAGCGTTTCCTCTCTAAATTGGATTCCCGCATCAGCAGTTGAACCTGCTCCATTTGATCTTGGAGACGCACTTGTCGTTGGCGGCGTACATCACGCCGTCTTTGCAAGGCGTATGCGGTAGCTAGGTACTCGGACGTTAAAGGATCTACCTCGACATCTTGCATGTGAACATCGGTCTCGGGAGGTTCTGTAACCTGATTTTCGGCCTCACGTAAGTTCGAAGAACCATCACCGTCAGGTTTGGAGCTTACATCATTCGAAGCAGTTGACCCGGTAGATGATGAAGATGACGAATAAGACACCGAAGCGATCTGGGGATAATCAGCTAAGGGACTTTCCTGTATGACGCGGCGAACAGGGACTTCCGGTTCGTCATCCATCATGGTATCCGGTAGTGCGTTGTTACTGCTGCATCGTGAAAAAAAAACAAGAAAATTTACAGCGAGCAGTCGCTGGAGCCGTCGAATTTGTATTAGCGTCACTTTCACTTGAAAAAATTTCCCTACTGTGACACGGCTATTCTGTTTGATCTACACAAAGACACAAAGTGAAGCGAACCCTGAGCCTATAGCGCCCCACTTTGGACTTACCGGAATAATCACATCAAGAGAGGGGAAGGATTGTGCAGACGAAAGCAACGTAAATAAGTAAAGAACATTTGAAACAAATAGACCAAATCCACCTAGGTTGTGATCACCACGTCCATTTTGTTCACTACTGGGCTAACTTTGGCTGGTACCGTTCAGGCGACATCACCTAGTTTACTAGCCACATACCAAAACAGCCGCAATCGCAGGTCGGTTTGACCATTCTTAAGCAAAACCGAACATGTGAAGTGTCCGAAGTTGAGGAATCGGTTGGTTAAAAGGATAAGGAGAAACTTTAGCAGACCAAGTGGATGCAGTTCTCCGGAAAACTTCCCAACCGAAATACAAAAGGCATCGCTGGAAGCCTTTTCTGTGTTCCAACCATGAGCACCACTGTCTCTGTCAGTTCCCTGCACGACAGACCGAACTCAAGGGTGTACTGATCCTAGCCACCAATAAGTAAAGAAACACGGCTAAGATATGGAAGTGTGTGTGGTAATGTTTGTAAAGCAGAGTGGAATATCAAAGAGATCAGTGCAAAGGTATATCGAAGGAAGAATTTCACCATCAAATAACCTAGTTACTAAGACGGCATCACTCCACGAGCTCGATGACAAGTTACCAATTACTCCCACCAAACTAGTCGGCATAAGAAATCGCGTGACAATCTGAAATATGGATATGGATTAAAAACAGTGTGAGAGTGTTACGTTTGAGCTACCTACAGCACAAAGAAGCTCCGCAATCTGCTTGAAGTAAGAGAAAGTGTGAGTAACGAACGCATAATTCGTACACGTATTGTTGCAACGGAGTTATTGAAGGTCATACACGCAGAAGAATAGTTCGCAACAGACTGATATGAAAGTGAAGACATATTCGTACAAAAACTTGCTGATCCGATGTTCTCGAAGTTGTAATAAATGGTCATGGTAAAAAAGCATTGAGAACATGATTATCCGAACAAACACCTTGTACTGTGCAAAAGTATAAACGAAGGACTAGTTTTGAGCGATATAGGCCTAAAAAGGTGTTAGAGCTAACAGCGAAGCACACTTACCAGAAATGACCAGGTTGTACATGTTAGAAGTGTACGCAAGAGGGTCTGACCCCTCTATTGGTCAAGCAAGCAAACAAGCAAACAAGCCAGAATCCGAGGGCATAAAACGATTTGTGGGGGGGGGGGGG